TGAAAATGAGTACTTCGGCCAGTATGATTTAGAACCTTTTACTTCAATCTAAATCGAGTGAACATGCTCCGTTATTTGAACATAAGATCAAACTTGCAAAATAAATTCAAATATCATCATATCGTGAGGTTAACCTAAATACTAAATCTAAAACTAAATCACCGAGTTTTGACTAAATGTTTGAATACAATACTTAGAATTATCAAATTTCTAGATTTTATATATTAACCGAGTATTCTTGAGTAGTCTCGATAACTCACAACTTACCGTATATTCATTAACAACCAATGATATTGGCAAGGGCTTTTTCCATCTTACTTTAATAGAAGTCTTCGTTTGACTCTCAGCTTGTACATCAGTAGGGTTATCAGGCTCTGAATGAAAATCAAGCTTATTAGTTGTGTTCTGAAAATGGTTTCCAAATGTCTGAAAAATATCAACTTACGCGATGTCAAAAAGTTAATGGTACTTTTGGGTCCTGGTCCAACACTGGTATAACCCCTGACAGATACTCTATAGTTTTCACACAATCTAAGGTTGTACAGTATGTACTGGGTAGCATTTGTTGTAGTATTAAACATTTCCCCTAATGATCTTCGTGAACGACCTCCCACAACAACTGCTGACCAAACGATCTCGTACTTTGTAACCACACCATTGCTTTGATCTGTTGTTAACGGTTGCCAGGTAACCAAGAATGTTGTATCGTTTATCTTTGTTGCTGTTGTATCTTGTGGACCAGTTTCAGGAACTGAGAAAAAAAGACAACAAAGTTGCAGATAGTTTAAAAAAAATTTCGATCACACAAGGAACAAAGATAATGTCCTTCTCACCATCCTCTAATGTTCTTTTTCTCGTAACGCTGCTTACAGGACCGATATACATAGTGTTTCGTACAGCCACTGATATGTCGTAGTTAGTGTATTTTCTAAGATTCGTCAGCGTTGCATCGCTAACGTTACCCACGTCAATCTGTTGTCGTGTTCCGCCTTCTGGTGTGTAGAATATTCTGAATCCATTATAGAAAGGCAAAACTAAGTACGGCAACATTTTTTTGCAGAAGAAATTCTTAAACAAGGATGAAATCAAAGAACGTTAAACTTCGACTTACTTAGGTTCACCGTCACTTTCCCCGATGCCTCATTAATCCCTCCACTCGGCAGGTGAAGTGGGTTTACTATTCTACACGCGTAGAACGTGTTACAGACAACAGCTCGTGTGTTAGGATCTTGTCTTGTACAATAGTACTTGGACACCACGTCTTCAGCTGAGATAAATTGTACCTGTAGTGTTGATTGTGTTGCACCGTTGATCTTTGTTCCATTCTTAAACCACTGTATGTCAGGTGCTGGTTCACCAAGTACACTACAGGTTAATGTAATGGAACTTCCTTTGATGCTTGAAAGGATGGAGTCAACAGTATTCAAAATCACTTTCGGGGCAACGACTAAAATAATACCGCACAATTATCATTATTGATTAGATTTTAATATTCCCATGTGATCAGTAAGGATTTCAGTTTAAAAATACGTTCACATATGACTTACAGATATCACATCCATAGACATCAAATCGTAGACAGTAACCGCCCCCTGAGTTGTGGGTCTGAGGAATAATTCTGATATAACGTGCTGCTATTGGATTCCTAAGCCAGTTGACTCTGACGGCATTCCTATCGCTGTTTCCTTCAAAATTCTATTTAATAAAATCCGGGAAAGTACAAAAAATATATAATAATAAGTGGATTGTTAACATCAAAAGGCTTTTAATAAGCTCACATTAAAAAACACCTGTCATTAGATCATTAGGATGTACTTTTGAGCAGGCTTATATATATATGACTAATAATCATAGCCCAGAC